CTGGACTGAGCTAGGGCGGCAGTAGCTCAGTTGGTAGAGCGTTGGCCATTGAGCCAGAAGGTCGTGGATTCAAGCCCCGCTCAAGACTTTCACCATCGACTCCCACTGACTACTGTCGTTGTGTCCTTGGCAAGACACTTAACCTCTGGGAACACCAGCCACAGTGGGGCGGCTGCGGCTGTAAAGTGCCAAACTGCCGTTGTGTCCTTAGGCAAGACACTTCACCCCCATTGCCTAGAATGAGTCTGGTGTGTGTGTGAATGGTTGGTGGTGGTCGGAGGGGCCGATGGCACATACTGGTTGCCTCGCTTCTGTCAGTGTGCCCCAGGGCAGCTGTGGCTACAGTAGTAGTTTATCACCACCGTGTATGGAGTGAATGAATAATGACACATGTGAAGCGTCTTTGAGTGTCCAAAAAAGCGCTATATAAAACCGATGCATTATTATTATTATATTAACTTGGACTGAACCAGGACTGAAAGAGGGCTGAACCAGGACTGAATCAGGACTGAATCAGGACTGAACCAGGACTGAACTTGGACTGAACCCGAGCCAGAAAATGACTGAAATGAGTTTGAACTAGGACTGAACTGGGACTGAAGAGGAGCTACAGTAGGTCCCATTTCGTTTTGTCGTCTTCACTCACGCTTTTCATGAATCACGCAGCTGCATGAAACATATTACATCCTATCGCCACTAGGTGGCAGGTTAAGTCCGCTTTAGCTCTGCCAGCGACTTAAACGCTCAGGTATAAAACTGCGTCCAAACTTGTTTTGCCTAGTGATACTATGTTGGCCGAATGGTTAGCGTTGCAGGTTAGGACCTGGGGGATTCGGGTTCGATTCTTGTCTGAGGCAGTTTTGGTTGCACACCTTTTGGTTGCTTGTGTGCAATTACGTAACGTTATCAGCTTGTTATCTTCTTTCCTTGTCAAAAGGAAATGTCATGTTTTTTTATTCCTGCAGTTTGGTTGGTGCTGATTGTGGAGTTGAATTCCAATTGTATTTAAAGTTTTACATGTTTATCAAGCTCATTACAAAAGCAGTACAAGAGAAGTCCTGCTAAAGTTTGGACTTAAGTGATGTCTGCAGTCTGAATCCCTCTCTCAGTGTGAGTTGTGTGTTTTACAATAGCGACCGTTTGACAAACAAGACTGTGCCACAACCCCCATCCCCCAAATAAAGTGGCACGTTACAATTTGACTGAATGAGCGCCGCGGTGTCACGTGAGATGGTTTTGGGCAAAGGCAGTGACAGGTTTCACACTCAGACACTGGAGCTGTGGCTTTATTTTCACTGCTTTTGTCAGTCATTCAGATCATCAGACAGCTCAACTATATCATTAACTGTGTTCCAGATAGATAGATAGCCTCTATGTTGCAGAGACAACATATACATATTTTGTACTAATGTTAATCTTTATAATTAAATTGCATTAACGTATATATTTAAAATAATTATGTATTGTCTATATAGAATTCTATGCCAATTCGAAAATAAAGACATTCTGAAAGCGATCTGCCTCTCGTGATCTTTTAGTGAGGTCTTCTCCTTGTATTTACTGTTTGGCTGAGCAAAGTTTTAATAGTATTGGTTAAAATAAATCCCATTATCAAACACTCTGGACGGCGTGATGTAAATAAGAGAGAGAGAGAGAGAGACGCTGACGCATTTTGGCTCAGTGCGCTGGTGTGCAATCAATGGAATACATCACAATACTCATCAAACAAGATCCATTCAGTTTTATCATTGGAGGAAATGTTTATTAAACCAAGCAATTGGCACCTTGACAAAACACTGGATATAGAAATCCTAACAATAGTAGGCTAATAGTAGGCTAACGTGGACATCCCTTGGCCCGTGGGGATATCAGGTGGTCTATATATCTATTGTTTATTGCTTAAACTGGATTTTCGACATTCCTGTGGACTCGAGCCCTGGTCAATCTAGTTCAATACAGTTCAGTTCCTGCGCAGCTTTAACTTGTGCGCTTGCCTTACCCAAACGTCCAGTAGATCGAACCAGCCTCAATCATACGAACATTAAAAGGAACCTCATGTCCTTCGTATTATCTCCGCTTTAACAAAAGCTTAAGGCAGGTGAACAGAAAATGTTCTGTCATTTTATGTTTCCATATAAAAAGTAAGACATGTTGTTCATAAAAATGGCCAAAATTGCCTATATTTTGGGCAACGGAATAAAAATAATGGATTGCGCCAGATTAAAATGTATGGTTTCATTTTATTGACATATTAGTAACTAAGATTTTGGATATATTGTTTAGTTTTTCAATTGACTAATCATAATGAACAAATCTGTAAAAACTCCAATTCCGCCTGTTTTTTTGGGTTCAAAGCTGAATAAATCAGGCTAGGCTATTAAAAAATCCTTCTGAAAAAACCTTCTAAATATTGTTACGTCCAAGACTGGAAAGTTTGGAGTCTGTATGAGCGACTACAGTATAAGGCACTGCATGAAAAGTTAGATTTTCGTCACCCTAAACGGCAGGAAATCACGCTCCTCCAAACTGCCGCATCCGTACCATGCTAATGTCCCTACTTTGCATATGAATGCAGCGAAACACTGCGGCCGGTCGAGCGCTAATGGCCCTAATTAGCATATGAATGCAGCGGCTGGCCAGGCTGCTTCAGAACACTATTCAGCATTGGCGGATACTACTACTTTCAAACTCGTGATTGGCTGAAAAATCACACGTGGCCAGCCCACGTGGGATTACTCCCCATTGGATGAAGCTTACTCCCCATTGGATGAAATCACTACTTTCAAATAAGTATAATCTCTCGTGATTGGCTGGCAGATCTGTCACTATTGGTCACCATGCCTCATAATTAATGCAATATTTATATAAATATGTATTAATTCATATTATGCTGCATATATTTTATCCTATGTAGGCTACTACACTATTATTAGGCCATCAATGACATTAATTAATTTATAGAGGAAATTAAAATTTTCCAGGAATATGTATGTAAAGAAAGCTTTATTAAAACACACACACACACACAGCTTTATGCCCACACTTAGGTAATTGAAAAATTACAACTCTGAACTGTCCAATCGCCTCCTCGGGGTTGTAATTTGGCAGCGTTCTAGAGAGACGCTTAATGTGCGTGGCTCTGTACGTACAGTTATGATTGGTATCTACACATATCCATTACCTACACAAAACATGTAGATATACCAAATTCAATTTCCATGGATACATTAACAATACTTACATAACCTTTTTGAGAAAGAAAGTTTTCCCCCCATCATAAATTTGTATTAGCAATATCGTGAGAATGTGTTTTATGTTTACAAGTGTTGCTACTGAATGCTATTTCAAAGTAAGTGGTATAACTGGTATAACTTTCAAATTGTTAGAATACTCATTTTGTTTTGAGATCAGAATGAGAGTTTTCCTCTCATTCTGATCAGAGGAGCGAGGGGAGAAGCATCTGTGGCTGCCCCCTCCTCTGCCGCTAAACGCATGGATGTATGTCTGACAGGGAATTTACACAGTAGGCGTAAACAGCGCGTACGCGTTTACTGCGCGCTCTCTGCGCGTAACATTTTTTTGGAGTATCTACACAGGCCGTGTGCGCAGGTCCGCGGCTTCTGATGCTCTCCCTGTGTAGTCTATGGAGCAGTGTAGAGGACAGTACAGAGGACTGATGTAGAGCAACACAAATCACATGCATGTGTTTGTCCTCATGGTCTCTGTGCTGGTTTAGCCAGACGCCAGACTTTATGAACGAAAAAAAACGATGTCTAGAATCACTTTAAAACCTGCTGCTCCTCCTGCTGATGTTTAGACACAAGTGCAGTGTGTGCGTAGATGCGATCTAGAGCCAAGGGCCGCTAGAAAAATCATGTTTTACATGAGATTTCAATGGGAGACGCGTGGCTGCGTGCACAAAATTAGAAATCCATCCTAAATTAGAGCGCATCTTCGCGTCATACGTCCGTCATACACACGTATAACGCTAGAAGTGTAAATATCATCATAGGTTAACATGGAAAAAAGTTACGCGTGTCTGCTGCGCGTATAACGCGTACGTGCTGTAACGCCTCATGTGTAAATAAGCAGTGACAAATACATTTAAGTTTAAATGGACTACATTACAAATTTAAGTGGACTTTTTATAGAATGAATAGTGGCAACCCGTGCGTTATCGCCCCCAGCCATGTGTGACACCCAGCGCGTTTTACAAGTTTACTACAGTCTAGCAACTATTTTAAATGTGTTGGCCTAATTACTAAGTATGTTTTAGAAAAAATGTAAACGTCAACAAAATCAAAAGTGTCTTAGCCTGTACTTGAACCCAGGTCCTCTCGCAACAGAGTCTAGCTCCTTATCATTGAGCTATAAAGCCACAGAAAGTTGTCCGGTGAAGAGAGAAGAATCAGCGGTGACAAGCCAATGTTCCTAACCCTGCTCACAAGTGCCACCTGGTGGTTGTTTGGGTCATTGCAGCATCACTGGGGGAAAAAAAAAAAAAGACGCGTGTTTCACACGTGAGTCTCGTGCTATTCACGCGTGAAAGGCGACAAAACGAAATGGGACCTACTGTATATGCACATGACGCTTGAATCAGCACTTTGAAGTAATTGTGAACAAAATAAAAAGATTCGGTCGAATAGCGATAGAAACAGTGCTGATTTTGACGTGAAAACAATTTTGTAACATGGTTAAAAGCACAAAACACACAAAATTCTGCAGTTGGGTTAGGGTTGGTTGAGTGGGTTGAATGGGTTGGTTGGGATTTTCCTGTTTTTGACCCATTAAATCAGTCCTCCTCAGACCTAGCTAGCATATACGTAGCCACACTGTATTCCCTATAGACACTGGATGTGCAGAGTGGCCATGTGCACAAGCAAATACAACAGCATCAATGATTAGATGTGCTCTCTGTGTTTGCGTTGGGATTTCCGAGCCTTATTGGGGTTCTAGACACGGGTTTACAGTTTGTTTATGTGAGAGTGTGGGAGACGTACGCTTTCTCCAGACTGTCTTCTTTGGACATGTTCTGCACAAAGAGGTTTGACGCCAACTTGAACAGCTCCTCGGCCCATTCCTGCAACAACAACAGTTACTAAGTTCAATGTTATGCTCTACTTTATTACAACTTCTGCATCTTATCAATAATGCAGGGTTGAAACAAATCTTTATTATTGACTATGGAATCATTTTCTTAGAATTACGGCTACTGGACACCTGAATTTCTTCTATGGGGGATCAATAATGTATATCTCTATCTACCTGAAAACCTGAAAAACCCGCACTGCTATTGCCACTCTTTCTTTTATTGCCACTTTTTTAATGTACATAATTATATCCTGAACAGACTATATTTTTAACCTTCAAGTCTTTTTGCACGATCTGAGTGATTCTATATTTGCCAAATGTGTAAATTTCTCCAGTGTGAGATCAATAAAGTCTATCTTATCTTATCTTGTCTTATCTATCTAGTAAGTTATTCCTAAACCAAATAATGAACCGCTATCTATCTATTTTTCTATTTGAAATTAGGACAGTACATTATAATCAATGTGTCTGCAAACAGCATCAACATACAGTAAACATGCTGGAACTAACACAATAGCTAAGTTGCATCCATTGTTTTAAGGCAGGTAACAAACACACAAACACAGTCAGGTAAAAGTACAAACATTAAGTCGACAAGCACAACATAAAGAATTTAAAAGAGAAGAGAAAGAGAAGACAAGCGAGACAAGCTTGCACGGATAAGAATCTGCAATGTTTTTAGATGGTAAAAGGCTGCTGATATGACCAGGTGAGCCATCAGAGCTGAAGAATATGACCTATTGTACGTGTTTATAGTGATAGGAGAACCGAAGCCCCTGGAGAAAACCTAAGGCGCAGAACAAGCAAACTCCACTCAGCTCTGTTCCGACTGAGCTTTGAACCCAGGACCTGTCGAGAAGCAGGAGTGCTAACTTCATTAATGCATAAAGACAGCTTCTCACTCCAAGTATATACTGTAGATAAAGATTGCTTACTTACTTTCCAAGATGATTTGTGTTAAATATAAGACAGAGAAAGGGCTCTAAATGGTTTGACATGATGAAGGCTACTTAAAAAAGTTTATGATGGGGTAATGTAAGTGTCTGAATGTCTTTATCTACATTTATACACACAATTGTTACATAATACAAATGTTATGTTACCTTAATGATAGCCTATTTTTGACAATTGCAGGGATCCTTGCGTTTCTAAGCCTGTTTCATAGATTCATGGCCATATTTCGGCAACAAGACACTTTGCCTGTGACGTAAATTATGTCATTTAAATAACATCTCAAATTGTGATTAATTGTGCAGCCCTAAAGTTCAATCACCTGTAGCATGTACACTACGGACATATGGTGTAGCTATAATAATCACATATTGACACTGACATCTATTGAACATATTTCAGTCCTGGATAATTCTGGAGATTTTGGTTCCTAGGTTCTTTCTGTTTGTGAATTTGGCTCTAGATTCCCGCCCAGGAGCCTGTTTGTGTTGGCTATGATTGACATCTAATTGTAAAACAATTGGGGGTATTTATGTGTTCTAATAGTTTTATTCTTTAACTTCAATCTGTGAGCCCATAGCTGTTACCTTGGCGATCTCCTCCTGGAAGGCCATGAAGTTCAGGTAGGTGATGTTGACCATGTCCAGTCCGCTCACTACGGTCAGCATGCGGTTCTCCATCTTCCCCGCCAGAGTGCTCACGTCCAGCAACTCGCGCAACTTTGCCTCCTGTGAAACACAAGATAAGATATTCCTTTATCCGTCTCACAGTGGAGAAATTTCAGTGTTATCGTTGCGCACATTACAGAGAAAGAAGGAAAAAAGAACACTCAGATTGCACACATCAAAAAGACTATATTATTTCAGATAATAGACAATATAGTTAAAATAAGATGGTAAAATAGAATAAAATAAAATAAACTTTGGGGCTATAATTGCACTTGGTTCAGAAGTATTTACAGATTGCACTTTAGCAGCAGAGAAAATTAGCAGAATAAACATCAGTAATAATATCAGCAGTAAAGTGACTAGTGAATGGCAGAAGTAGCAGATGGACGGATATGTGATAATGCAGTAATAATAAAAACAGGTAAAGTGACAATGGTCAATCAGAACAATGCATTTGAATGGAAAGATAGCAGATTCATTTGGATAAACTGTCAATGCAGAATAAGTCTGTGTCAGTGGTGTCAGGCTTGGGAACACAGCTTAAGTAATTGCTTTTCCTCGAACAGTTGGATTAATTACTTTTTGTGACACACACTTCACCATAGTTTCACATCAAGCGTCTTAAACGAGTCTCCGGCAAATAAGCGTAGACGCGGAATTTAGGTCCAAGAATAGTTTTTTATTGAGCCTGACCATTTACGCCAGAAGTAAAATAGATACCAACTTTATTTATCCAACAAGGGAAAACAGATAAGATATGATAGACTTTATTGATCTCACACAGGAGAAATGTACGTGTCACATTTGGCACAGATAGGATCACTCAGATTTGTGCGAAAGACAGAAGTGTACCAAATTGGTACACTTTGGTACACAGAAGTGTACCAAAGTGTGACAGAAGGTACCAAAAGGAGGGAGCACATAACTCCGGTGTTAAAATCACTCCACTGGCTCCCTGTGGAGTACAGAATAAAGTTTAAAATCCTACTCTTAACATATAAAGCCATAAATGGCTTGGCTCCTTCTTATCTCCAAGACATGTTAGTGTCGTATCAACCAGGTCGAGCGTTGCGCTCACAAAACGCCAGACGTCTGGTGGTCCCTAAGGTCTCAAAGGTCACTGTTGGTGGCAGAGCATTTAGCTACCAAGCTCCTTTACTGTGGAATCAGCTTCCCATTTATGTTAAGGAAGCAGATACGGTCTCCACATTCAAGGCCAGGCTTAAAGCACTTTACTTTAATTTAGCATATAATTAGGTAATATATAATATGTAGTGTATATATTATATATATATGCTGTATTATGTTATATATTATGTTATATATTATTCAATAATGTATTGTGTTATGTTGTATATTATGTTATATATTATGTTGTATGTTATTCTTTATTCAAGGCTAGGTTTAAAACAGTCCTCTTTAGTTTAGCATATGGCTAGGAAGGTAAGACTCAGGGAAGGCTAAACTCCTCAGAGTGTTAGTCAAGCTGCATAGGGAGTCAGTTTGCTGGGAGAAGTATGGTAACTTGAGCACTATCCTCTCCTCCTTCCTACTTTATCTGTTTAGCATTTTTAGGATTCTGACTGTAGTTTGTTCATTGCTATTCACCCGTTGTCCCATTGTCTGTTTCATGGTACGATGACGGGATCTCTGAGCCTGGCCTCCTCCATCTACACCTGCGGACTGCCCCGCCCGACCCGCCTGGGAGTGCTTCAGTCCTGCACCGGACCTGTCCACGTTCAGCGTCCACTGGTCCACGTTCTGTAGCTAGCTTAGGTCCTAGATCATTAGCCTGTCCGTCCGGAGGAGCGGATCCCTTTCTCAAACGGGTCTCCCTCCCTGTGGGTTTCCCTAGTTCTCCTCCAAGGTTTCTCACTTTTTCCCACTGGGTTTTTTAAGAATTTTTCCTTGTCGATGCAGGAGGGTCTTGTTGGACAGTTAGTGTCCAACAGAAAGGATTGGTGATGATCAGGACACTTTAGCATTCTACAACATGTATGGACATTTTCTTCTGTGTGTGCTTTATATTCTTCATGTGTTTTAACTGTTGATTCTCTGACCTGTGTTGGTGATTTCAATGGTTTTGTTAAGTCCTCTGAGATGACTTCTGTTGTGACCTAGGGCTATACAAGAATAAATTGTAATTGTATTGTGTATTGTGTGCAACATGCTGGAGGCAAAAAATGTAGTCTGATCAGGATATATTATGTACAACAAAATTAAAGAAACAGTGCCAATAGAAGCAAAGGTTTTTAGTCCTTAGTTAGTGCATTAGTGACTTAAAGTGACTCATTGTACAGTCTGACAGCGGTGGAGATAAGTGGCAAGAAACATTTACAAGGACACGTTATTCGATGGCCGATATTTGATTTTTATATGAGCTTGAATATTCCTTTCTGGTTGTTGGATTGAGCCAAAGACAATGCTTTGAATAAATTCAATGATGTGGTTATTTCCCTAATAAAAAAAGATTTAAGATGAAGTATAACATGGTGCAGTGGTCCATGACTTCTATCAATGATTGCGATTGAATGATAAATACCAAAAACTCCAAAAACCGTTCTGTGGGCCGTCTGACACCCTGGTACATTGAGATAATTTATAATGAAAGACGATGACTCCTGCAGCAGCGGAGACTTAATCTGTGTGATTTGAAGCAGATCCGGCTGAAGGAAGTTGGAGACAGCGCTGCTCTTTGTCACTGACGTTTGTGTTGATGTTTTACCAAAGACTCCCAGGCCCAAAAACAGATATGTGGCTCTACATGGACTGGCTCCTGAAGAAACTAATCTATTTATACTTGTTTTTTTTATATATATCTCTTTGAAATATAGTTGGAAATAAACCTTAACATTGAAATAATACATTGTAAATTTCACTTTATTGTCTGTTCCAAACTTAAGCAGACTGCGCAGCTGCAAAACTCCATAAAACTCCAAATGTATCAGTATTCAGGAACAGTATTTAACATAGTACATTTAAACTGATTCCTTGTTCTGAAATGGTTCTGGATGGAGCTAAACAGTTCCCAGTCACTTGAGGGTTTTAAAGTTAAATCACCATTTATTTTCCCCTCCGGCCTTCCAGGATATAAAAGATTGCTCAGGGCCATGACTAATTTTCAAAACATTTTGTTCAACAATTATTCCAGATTAATAAACAATGAGAGATTTAATTATATGGTGCACTTTATCGTCCCTGACAGCGGCTCCACATCCTCTGTGTTGGCTCCGCTCACCTCTTCAGCCCATTCGAGGGCCTCCAAAAGTTCTCAACATTAAAATAGCTCCAAAGCAGAAGAATTTTACGCTAACAAAGAACTACACCTAACGACTAGGCATATAACGATATTGACGGTATCGATATTGACGGTAGCAAAAGTGTATTGATATTTGATTGTGCATTGATATTTGATTGTGTTTCAAAACAACAACAAGAAAAGCAACTCCAGCGGAACAAAGCAACGTAAACTATTACCCAGGATCCTTTGCGCGGTTGCGTATAACAAACAAACCGTAAACATAACAGAGCATGGTGAAAAGAAAAACATTTGCAAGACGGGAAACACAAGCATCAAGCGTGGTCAACTGACAGGGGTCTACTGCCGTCAAAAACCTTAAAGAAGGAATTTTAACTCAGTCATGCAACAGGGCTCTAGAAATCAGCAGGTGTTGCCAAATGCACAATTTAATAATTCCATCTTGTTTATAGTTGTTCTATTTGCTTCTTAACTTGAACCTTGCACATAATATATCTGTGATCTGTGACCAAGTACTACCACACAGATTGTCTTTTAACAATCTTTTGACATTGTAAATAGCTTGGTGAATGGAAAATCAAATGTAAAGTCAGTAAAAAAACTATAACTATATAGAGACAGAGACCGAGACCGGGAGGGAGAGAAAAAGGAAGAGGGAGAGAGATTGATATTGATATTGTAAGGCAGTGATTATCCTCCACAGGTGAGTAGAGTGTTAGCCTCTCTTATTGAGCTACTGAAGATAGAGATTAGACAGATAATGTTAGACCTTTTGTTTTGCTGAGTGCTTTCATTTATACTGCCTTTTTCAACGTATGTTTATGTTCTGCACATGCTGCTCTACGCCTGTGGAGAAACTAGGAAGATTACTCAGCTCTTTGAGAAATGTACTTTTACATTGCAAAATTGTTGTTTTAATGAAATTGAACTGACTCCACACCTAATGGATTGGGCAATATAACTGCAGTTGTGGCGTTTGACAGCTGGTGTGATGAACGGGGAGGTGGACCGGAGCACCAGGCTGAAGTCTTTATAGATCTGAGGTGAAGGGCCAGTGGCTGTGAACGGAGGCACACAGAATATTTAACAGACTGAGGCAGATTCAATCCTCCTCAGAGTCCGAGTTGGTCCATGGCACTAACATGTCACAGATGTACTATGTCTATAATGCAATTCACTTAGGTACTTCTATGTTTTAAGGTGGATTCACTTATGCCTCACAGTATAAAGGTTGTAGGTTCAATCCCTAACCACTCTTTTCTTTATGGAGATTGCATTTTCTCCTCATGTCTGGGTGGGTTTCCTACCGTTTCCCCCACCACCCAAAACATGCACCATGTAAAATCCTCCAGCTTTGGTTCAAAGACTAGTCCTGACAGGTTTCTCTTAGACCCAGAGCAGGGATCTCCAACCTGTAGCTCAGGAGCCACCAGTAGCTCTCTGCCCCCTTCCAGGTAGCTCGCCAAAGATGATTTTTTTCATTTAGAAACAAACTATTTACATAATATACTTAATATTTCAGATTGAATTATTCATCATCATTATATATAATTGCAAATACACTTATGTTGTGTCCTAGTAACAAATATGCCTTGATAAATAATGACTGTACCCAATATCAGGCTTATTCAAACCAATATATCACCACATTTTTCCAGGGCCGCTTAAAGGAGTAGCTCTCTGTCTTTATCGTCCCGGGAAAGGAGCTCTCCGGGTTAAAAGGAGACACCTGGCCTAGAGAGATTGAAAGGTGGGCCAAATGCAGTGAACACATTGCCTTACAGAGACAATGAATTATAACTGTGCTGAAATAACTCATGGCAAAAATAGCCACAGATAAAGCAGATGCCAAGTAGGGATGAGAACCAATAACATTTTACGGTACGTTAGACACAGACCTTGGTCTGTTAAATGCGCTATATATATAAACATTACTTACACTTACTTAAACCATCACAAACACTTCATAATTCTATCTTACAAAACATATTTCATGCCAAAATATCGCAGTTTTGACTCATTACTCATAATTGGTTTGTCTCCATCGGGCCGTGCTTATAGTTTTTCATTCCCAACATTAAACCTCCAGCAAACTTAATCACAAAAGCTATTATGTTGTTTAATGAGTCTTGCATGCCGCTTGTAGCTGTAGCAAAACATTGAGCTTTGGCGCTGATCCAAACTAAACCTACTCATTTCATTGAACATACATTTAAACAGCTCCTTTTGGTGAAAGTTGATTGAACAAACTACAGGGAACATCACACAAAAACAGTGATATTTTCCTCTTTGTGATGGGTACATGCTGCATACAGAGCAGCTGATCATGGGGCTTAATTAACACAACAAAAAGCAGAGCAAAGGATTTCGTTGTGAAAGCAAATGAGCTTCCGCTAATTTCACAAATCAAACAAAGAACTTTGTGAGCTGCGTTGCACTGATAAATGTCTCTGCACGTCCCCCACGCTCTCACCACTTTACATCTGCTTCATTAACGGGACTAACTTTACACAAATGTTTTACTCTAGTTCTAGTCATGTTGTAGGGCATGTGCCAATGGGAAAGAAGAAGAATTTTTTAATGTTAAAAAAGAAAATTCTCAAATGTATTGATTGGATTTGCAAACCAGTCATATTATTCTAACATCATGCATATGTTTTTACATATTTTCAAGACTTCTAGACACCTTTATGATAATAATTAGATCATAGTTGTTATGTACTGGAAAAGAGAAATGAGTTTAGATATCTGAACCCAGGACCTTCTTGCTGAAAGTGCGAATCACTCAGTCACCGTCTCGCCCACATTTTTTACAGTTACCATGGTTACAAGAGAGAACTTTTCCTCTATAACAATGTTAAACTATTGGCTCTTTGTCATGTTCAGTTCCCAAAATCAGATTAGAAAATATGGAAACCTCAGTGAGAGAGGGATGAACTATAGACAGACTATTGGAGTGAATAAAATTGTGTCTTATTCCAGTACAAATCTTAAAATGAGATAACTTGTAAGTTTATCAGTAGGGTTATTGGGTATCGGGTCGGCGGCGTAGGCTTGTACTTGTACTCGTACTCGTACCATAGGATGCAATTCCGGCAAACGATACCCACCTGCGTCACAACCGCAAACAGCTGCTAGAGTCCCAAAGTTGGCTATGAGAAAGCAAGCTACCGGCAAGCAAGTGACCAGCAAGCGAGCGACCGGCAAGCGAGCGACCGGCGAGCGAGCGACCGGCGAGCGAGCGACCGGCGAGCGAGCGACCGGCGAGCGAGCGACCGGCGAGCGAGCGACCGGCGAGCGAGCGACCGGCGAGCGACCGGCGAGCGAGCGACCGGCGAGCGAGCGGCAGGCGAGCGACCGGCAAGCGAGCGACCGGCAAACGAGCGACCGGCAAGCGAGCGACCGGCAAACGAGCGACCGGCGAGCGAGCGACCGGCGAGCGAGCGACCGGCGAGCGAGCGACCGGCGAGCGAGCGACCGGCGAGCGAGCGACCGGCGAGCGAGCGACCGGCGAGCGAGCGACCGGCGGGCGAGCGAGCGGCCGGCGGGCGAGCGAGCGGCTGGCGAGCGAGCGACCGGCGAGCGAGCGACCGGCGAGCGAGCGACCGGCGAGCGAGCGACCGGCGAGCGAGCGACCGGCGAGCGAGCGACCGGCAGGCGGACCAGTTTGTCGGCCGTATGGCAGTTTTTTAAAGTCATCAAGAGTGACAAGAGTAGTTGTATTAGTTTAATGAATTTCCAGTGATAACACAATGCAGTACTCGGTATCGGTATTCAGTGTCGGCAAGTACACAAATTAATGTACTCTTATTTGTATCGGTTAAGAAAAAAAAAGTGGTATCGTGCACCCCTTCTCATCAGAATATTTTCACCAGCTGACAGTGTAGTGTGTACTTTACTGTTAACTATACATCTATGATAATCATGTTTGTGTCACCACTTCTGTCAACACTGTATATACTTTTAATTGACAGTCTCTTACAAAGCTCTATTTTTGGCTTTACTCTGGTGAACTTTTGTGAGGAAACAGGCTTACCCCAGTTACACACTCAGCTTAAATGATGGCGCATTTGTCAGCTTAAAGGTTTCACACACAAACACACAATCCCCTGACATTTTGGTAAATATTCTTCCCTTCAACGTGTAAACAGAAGCAGCGTTTGAGATTCATGGACGTCAAAACATGTTTTCCACTCCGGAGGCGGGTTGCGTGATGATGAGGAGGAACGGAATACACATGAGTAGATTTCACACCGAGGCTGTCATAACAGAATGGAAATTTGAATGAATTTTTTATTATATAGTTTGTACAATTATTTATGATTGACACCGCAACTAAACAATAGCGAAACAATGAATTCACTCAGATTCCCCTTTGCTTTTTAATTCATAATCGCGCCTTGTTTTATGTACATCTTTGTCAACTCATAAATGGCACTATTTGCCTGTAATTTTGTCACAATTATTAAGTTCTATATTTCACAGATTTGCGTCTTGTGAAGTTAAAGATGCTATACCTGATTTTTTTATGAGTTCATAAAAATGCTTATTACTACATACAAGTTGTATTATGATCCGTAATTTAATTGAAAACTTGGGCTCATTGATTCAGCTGTGTATGAATTCAGGCCGTAAAAAGTGCTGAGTAGAGACGCCCGCTCTCCTCCAATCACAGAACGAGGCTGCGTCCTCTAGCCTCTACAGCGCTGCTAAACACAGTAGCATGTTAGCATAAGTGGCTATAACTCTCCTTGCTGTAACTGCAGACACAGCAAAACAGCCCAAACCACACAACAGTGAGGAAGAGAAGAGGGAACTAAAGCAAAAAAATGATCAAAGAAGAAATCAAGCCCGGGTGAACATAGTTAGCTTACATCGTATCCTCTGGAGAGACTTCTCTTTGGGAGAGACCTGCGGGAGCGCCTCGGACTATCTATGCTCGGACTACATTCGGACGCAAAACTAGCGGTAATCTTTCAGTTATATATTTTGTTAGCAGTGCGTTGCTTTGTACCAGGGCTGGACTGGGACAAAAAAACGGCCCGGGCTTTTTTTCCTTCTTAGCGGCCCAGGCAACTCAAAAGGTTCAAGGACCCATATTTGCCAAAAACCTAAAAACAACTTCTGTCTGGAGCCGCAAAAAAAAAAACAGCGTTGTATAAGGCTTATATGAAGGTAACAGGGGCTGAAGCTGTATTAGCTACATTAGCTACATTAGCTACATTAGCTATATTAGCCTAATATCTAAATGACAAAGTAAAGGCTACAAACACATAAAAACCATTCATGATTATCAAATGTGTATTTTCATTGCAGCGTGTCCTGGAGAGAATGACGCACCACATGACAACTCTGCTTTAAGTTTAACCTCCATTTTTTTGCCTTCATGCAGTTGTACAAATACAGTAAATAAATCTGCTTTTTGGCTCCGAGTTCACCTGCATCACTGTCTGTTCATATCCATCATCTGAATGTCCTTAATGGCCTTTTCTTTCACCGTCTTTGTGAAGGGATTTGAAGTCTGAAAATAGGTGCTCTGAATTTATGATGAATGAATCTTTCAGTGAACGGTGTTTAAAGCTTCATTGTTCCTCTTGTTGCAATAAAACTTTTCATTACATCGCAAACATGAAGCAGTCCTTCCTCATTGACTGAAAGCAAATGTTCGACTCTCTCTCTTTATCTTTGGGATCCATGCGCACACACAGTTAAAATTGAATATTACTACATATTCATATTATTACTACAATACAAGTTTTTGCAGCATTTAAAAACGTTAAGAATGTTTTTCCTCCTACAGAAACCACATTCAAACTAGAAATAAAATACAGCCCTCCCACTCCATTTTCAGACATGTTTGAAAAGGCTCCAGGAGCCACTTTAGGGGCACTAAAGGTTGCCGACCCCTGGTTTATACAGTATGTGGAAGCAAATAGTGTAGAGGATCAGGATGTCTGCAGTTTCAACAATAAAATAAAGTACAATAGTCTACATTAAACAGAGTAATAAACATGTCTCAGAGTGAGGGAGGTGGACACAGACAATACTATTAGATTTAGATTTATTAAGGGAAAACCCCTTGAGATGCAGCATCTCATTTTCGAGAGGGTCCCATGAACATAAAACAAACAAATACAATACATATAATACAGTACATACAAACAATTAACATTTATACATTTAACACACACAGGTTTGCTCCCTCAGATCCAACTCCACCTCCTACTATAAGAACACATTCAAAAAACATATACATCATTACTGTATACAATATAGTCAAATACAGGCCATACATACTGCGGGTGATAGAATAATACAACTTAAAATATACATCCAGATATTAACACACAAAAAAAAAAAATATATATATATATATATATATATATATACTATAATAATAATTTAAAAAAAAAAAAAAAAAAAAAAAAAAACAGCTAGTAACATGCACAGGAAATGGTAAGATATCTAGACAATTCCAATTTAAATAAGCCAAAGGAGGTTAAGGATCTTATGTATGTGGGTAACTTATTCCAATCAGATGGAGCCTTGTATGAGAAAGCTCTACTTCCAACTTCTTTATGGATTCTTGGAACAGAAAAGGTGAGGGAGTTAGTGCTTCTTAGTGAATAGGTTGGTGAATTGGGGACAAAAAACAATTCTAAATATTGAGGACAGTTAAAATAAATACATTTGTAAATGAACTTCATCCAATGAAAGTGACGTCTGTGGTTAGGTTGCAACCAGTTCAGTTTTTCAAATAAAGTGCAGTGATGTGTTCGGTAAGGACATTTAAGGATGAATCTGCAAAGACAGTTGAAGAGTGTATTTAAAGGTTTGAGGTATGAGTCATATGTGTTTTGGTAGATGGTGTCAGAATAATCTATGATGGGTAGAACTAGTTGTGTTATTATTTTCTTTCTAACTTCCTGGGTGAAACAGTTGGATGAACGAAACAGGGGACCCATGGTGGCGTATGTTCTTTTAATGATGTAATCAATATGGGGTTTGAAATTAAGCTCTGGGTCCAGCCACAAACCAAGATATTTAATGGATTCAGCTCTATGCATCTTTGACCCATCACTGAACTCTATATGGAGGTCGGGGGAATTGAGAAGTTTGTGATGTGTACCGAAAAGAATACAGCATGATTTTTTCATATTGAGAATTAATCTGTTATTATAGAGCCATTTTTGGACTGAGTTAAAGGCAAGCTGCAACTGATTCTGAAGAAATGGAAGATTACCATTAGATGTGTAAATGACTGTGTCGTCAGCGTATATATTTATTGAACAGTTTGATATGACTTGTGGAAGATCATTGATGAATATTGAGAATAGAAGGGGACCTAAAGTGGAGCCCTGGGGCACCCCTTTCTCAATTATGCATTTGTTGGACTGAGAGCCATGTGACACAACATATTGAAAACGGCTATGGAGATAGGAATTAAAGAATAAAATGGCGTTGGTATCAAGACCTATTGCGTAAAGCTTGTCAAGCAGTAGGTAGTGATCTACTAGGTCAAAGGCTTTGGAGAGATCAAGGAATATGGAGCCCACATACATATTTTGGTCAAAAGAAGAAAATACATCATTTGTAAATTTTAGCAGAGCAGTGGTGGTTGAGTACCCTGTTCGAAACCCAGATTGAAAAGGGGACAATATATTAAAAACATTGAGGTAGTGATATAACTGTTGGAAAATCAATTTTTCAAATAACTTTGCAATTGCACAGATAATAGAAATTGGCCGAAAATTGTTTAAGTCAGTCGCATCTCCTCCTTTAAAAACAGGCGTGACTCTGGCCGTTTTTAGGACAGAGGGAAAAGAAGATGTCTTTATAGACAAATTAAAAATATCAGCTAGTGGGAAAATTAAAATGTGAGCAGCAATTTGTAAAAATTTTACATCCAAGCCATCTGGACCGGCGCTACAGTTTGTTTTCATTTTGGTTAAAGCATAATAAACATCCATGGGTAAAATTTTAGAAAAGGAGAATGAGGTACCTAAACGAGATTCAGGATTTCCAGAGAGAGGCAAGTACTTTGGAATTATATTGCTGATTGAGGTAAAATGTTGATTAAATGCTTCAGATATCTTGGAAGGATCTGAAATAGTTTCATTATTAACAACCACATGATCAGTAGATTTACTTTTAGACTTATTTAAAACTTGATCGAGTTGAGCCCAAAACTTTTTTGGGTTATTCAGATTTAGTGAAAACCCCTCTTTATAATATTCAGATTTGGCATTCCTGGTCTGTGTCTTACAATGGTTTCTAAGAGATCTATAGGTTTCCCAATCAACAGGATCTTTAGTGGTGTTATACTTATCCCAAGCATTGTCCCTCTCTCTACAAAGATTGACAAGTGTCGGGTTGATCCAAGGAAGATGTCGACCTTTTACACGTAATGTTTTCAGAGGGGCATGCTTGTCGATAACTCTGCTTACCTCAGAATGAAAATAATTCCATGCGTCCTCTGCATTTGGAATTAACTGGAACCTGTCCCAATTAATATCTATCAAGTCATGTATGAATAAGTCAATGTTCATTTTCTTAGTTCGTCTAATTGTAATATATTTAGGAGGATTTTTTGGCATTCGTATTTTCCACACACAGAACACAATGGAGTGATCGCTAAAGCAATCAGACATAACTCCTGATAGTGAGATTCTCTCAGGGTGAGTTACCAGTATCCAGTCTAGAAGTGAGGAGGAGTTCTGAGCTACTCTGGTGGGTTCTGTTATGAGTTGAGTGAGATTAACACTGTTAAGTAAGTTCCTTTCACCAGAGGAAGAACGGTGAAGCCAGTTACTATTAAAGTCACCCAATAATATCATTTCATTTTGTTTTTTAAAAGAACTAATAGTAGCTAGAATACATTTCATTG